CCCCGTGTCCCTCCCTCCCCAGCCCTAGGCCACCTCTTTCTACAGGCGCCACCTCAGCGGGGACTGCTCAAAATAAACTTGGGGGCGGATTATTTCCCGCCAAGCACTGTCTGGGAGCCAAGGGAGAGGAGCAAAAATACCAGCGGCCAGGGCAGGCCCTGCATGGAGCAGCCGAACAATGGCTGCCACTCCGAGCGGCTTTAAAAAGAACGTTTTAAAAATGCTTCCTCCTCCTCGCTTTTTCCTTAGCTAATTAACTTTCTGAGGCTCCAGACAGCGGGTGGTGCGCTCACCCAGGGCTCCCTGCAAGACTCCCGGCCTGTGGGGCTCTGTGCACCTCTGTGCACCAGCTTCGTAGTTACCCACGTTACGGGGCCCATGCGCCACCAAGATGCAGGCTCCAGCTGTGGGGTCTGTGAGGTGCTGTGGCTCACCAGGGCCACCCTGCAGAGCCAGGGTTGGAACCCAAGCCCTGCCTAAGGGACTTAGCCTTTCTGAGCACCGCCTTCCAAGTGTGCAGGGGGAGGGGCAGGACCCCAACTTGGAGGGCAGCTGTGAGGACTCAGGGACACCAGGCTGGCTCAGAGGTTGGCACTTAGCAGAGGCTGAGTAGCTGGCCTCCCTTTGACGGAGAGGATTTGCAGCCAGGGTGCCTGCTTCCCAGGTGGACCCTACACCTGAGCACAGCCTCCCCCACCTGCTGACCTGGGCAGCGCCCGCCCGCGTGGGGCTAAGAACCTCGCTCAGCAGGATGTGGCAGAAGGAGCAGGGGCGGGTGGGGGAGGTCAGACAAGAAGACCCTGAGGAGACTGGTCAGGGACCCTGACTGAGCCCAAGGCTGAGGCTCGGGGGCAGAGGGAGCCGTGGTGTCACCTAGGAGGGCACAGGCACACAAGCCCACCTCCAGCCACAGCCCTGCCTTGTGTGATCTGCCTATTCCCGGGGCGTCAGCGCTTCCTCCCTGGCCGTCCAAGGATGAACTGTTCGCCACATTCCGAGGATGAACTCGTGGGCCTCCCGGCCGACTCCAGCGGGCCACTGGCAGGGATGTGGCCCAGGGACGGTGCAGAGGCGTGCAGACACTCGGCCCCACCCTCGCTGGCAGCTGCCCCCCACCCGACCTCTGGGCCAGGGAGGCCGGGCTGACCGGGAGGCGCTGCCTGTCACTCCAGCTGCGGCCCTCCCTGGAGACCTTCTTAATTAAGCTGCAAAGACTGGCAACCGGCAGCTCAAGGCAGCTCGGCGACAGCCCCAGGGGCCGCATTTAAGTAAATTGAATGGAGCCTGTGCTCAGGGAGCTGGTGACGGGGTGCAGCCACCGAGCGGGGGGCAGGTCTTACAGAAGGAAGGCCATGAGGAGGCCAAGGGGGCTCCATGAGGAGGTGGCCTCAGACTGGGCCTCTGGCTGGCTGGGGGACCTCAGGTCAGTGACTCCCCTTTCTGGGCCTCAGCATTCTCAGCTGCCAAGAGGGGGTGCCCTCTTGTTTGGGGTGCGGGCTAAGGGACCTGTCCCCCAGAGGTCGGCCAGGCAGCAAGAGCCAAAAATTGGTATTTTTCCAAATGGAGCCAGGGCTTGTCCGGGCTGTCACCCCAGAGGTGGCCTGTGGACAGGGGCATGGGGGCAGAGCACAGTCCTGTCCTTTGAAGTGTCACTGGGGCAGCAGACCCCAGCGTCCCCCTCCCTTGGGGGTGAACCAAAGCCAGCTCCAGCTAGGAGCAGGAGACAGGCACGGACGGGGTGGCCCACCTGGGCCCCTGCTGGGCACCTTCTGCCCTCCCCACCTGCCGCCCACACCCGGCACCCACACTGGCCTGCTCATGGTGCTCGATGCCCATGCTGACGGTGTTGACCAGGATGGCCATCATGATGCCCCGGTTGAAGTACTTGCTGTCCACGATGCCCCGAAGCTTGGCCCGCGTCTCCCGCCACACGTCCCCACACAGCCGGACTGCCCCCACCTGCCCCTCCTCGTCCTCTTTGCCTAGGCCGGAGGAGCCCCCGTCCTCGCTGCTCCGGGGACCGTCCCCATCGGCTTCAGCCTCGCTGCCACTGGAGCCACCGGAGCCTGAGCCCTCCTGGCCCGAGTCGGTGCTGCCGGGACCCGAGGACCGCCGGCCCGCCCCGTGCTGGCAGTGCGGGCAGCTGGTGGGGTCGGAGGCCAGCATGGCTGAGATGGGCTGCACCAGCGTGTGGGGCGTGGGGTCCAGGGCGCTGTGTCTCGGGCACAGCTCTGCAAAGCAAACGAGGCAGTGTCGGTGCCCACCCCAGGCCTGGCCACCAGGGCACAGGGTCCGCCTGGAGCAAGCCTGTCCCACCTGGGGGTGACGGTTCCCCTCTCTGGGCTCTGTCTAGAGCCAGGTGGAAGCAGAGACCGGCAGGCCACGGGCGTCCCTGCACGGACACACGATGGGCCTGGGGCAGGTGTCCCTGCTGTTGGTCACTTCTGCCCTTGGTGCTGGGCCAGTCACTTAACAGACCCTCCCAGGTCCTGGTCACAGAGCCAGGGGACTGGGTGTGACTATGAAAGAGTCTGTGTGGAGAGGGGACAACCAAGGTGGCCGAGGTGTTCCTCAGCTCTCCGCCTGTGTCTCCCGGGGAGGGAGGAGACGGAGCCTGCGGCGGGGCAGGCTCACTCTGCAAGCCCCCGGACACCCCGACACCCCGACCCAGGAGAGTCAGGGCTGGGTGGGGACAGGCAGGAAGGGCCGCAGGGGCCACAGCTCACAGGCCCTTCATGCCCCAGGAGAACCTGAGCAGCCTGGGGCTTGGACTGGAGGCCTGTGGCCGTGCCCAGGTCTGAGGAGAGGTGGCAGAGAGGCCTCCCTCTGGCTGGTTTTTCTCTATTTTTCTAGAGTAATCATGTTTTGCTCTTGTAAGAAAAAAAGGCAACAATGAAGGGAAAGCGAAGCCTGTGACATGTGACAGCTGCCTTTCGTCTCGCACTTGCCTCCAAGTGCTTTCCAGCCCTGGACAGAGCCCGGGGACAGCTTCAGAGGGCAGGCCAAAGCCCTTCCCAGCCCCGGACACCTGGGGGGAGGTCTGCAGGCCCAGGCAGCCCCTCTAGAAGGACCCCCTGCCGCAAGCTCAGGGGGAGGGCGGCAGCGGCAGGAAGGCCTCGGGGTAATCGCCCTCCCGTGTCCTCCAGCAGGCGGGTGCCAGCCCTGCCCAGACCCAGCTCCCCTGTCTGCAGGCCGGGCCAGCCCACGGCCACCTGGAGCCTCCTCCAAGGCCACACCCGGACGGCTGGCATCCCAGGGGGTGGGCCACAGCTCCGAGGGAGCATTGTCCTGCCCGCCTCCGGCCTCCCAGGGTGGGGCCTGGGTGCTGACCTCGTGGCCACCAGGAGCCGAGGCCAGCTAACCCCACCCCACCCCGTGGTCGGGGTCACACAGGGAACAGCACATGGCACGCTCCTCCCCCGCTGCTCCAGTGACAGTTCCAGGGCCTGCCAACTGCTCAGCACCCAGCTGGGAGGAAAGGGGACAGAGCTGGGCCCTCCCCTCCCTGCCGGCCTCCTCCTGGGACTGGGGTGTTCGCAGCTGGAGGTGGACACTTAGCAAAGCCCCGGGTAACCAACATTCCATGTGACTGGGTGACACCCAGGGCCACTGAAGTGCCTCCCTCATCTCCTTGGACTTTATTTTTCCCATCTGAAAACCAGGGCACTATTTCCCAGCCTGCCGCCTTCTGGGGACCGTGTCCGCTCTCAGGATTCAGGTGAGGGGCCCCTTTCCCACAAACTACCCAGCAGCCCTTGGCATGAGACATGGCCCCAGCAGGGGCAGAACAGGGGGGCCCATGTCCCTGCCTTGCCAGACCTTGGTGCCAGGTGCCAGAACTACAGCTCAGCCACAGTGGTAGCTGGGGACAGCTACAGGAGGCTGGTGGGTGGGGACCTACAAGACTGAGGCCAGATCACGGTCCCCTCTGCCCAGCGCGGCTCCCGGGGCAGGGCCCAGGTCTGTGCGCAGCGGAGTCCCCCGGGGTGAGCGAGGGAGGCCCGGGCAGGTGCGCCTGGAGCTCCTGGCCGCAGGGGAAATGCTTGACCCTGAAATGAAGACGGCCCGAGCCTGGGGACACCTCTCTCGGGCTGGGGAGGTGGGACCCATCAGCAGCAGCGAGTCCCCAGGTGGCGGCACACCCACCGCCAAGTGTCAGGGCCACTTACTGCAGTGCCTGGGGTCCTTGGCGTGGGGCCCGGGCCTGGCAGGGGCAGGTGCCCCGGGGCCCAGGGCCTGGCGCCGGCTCTGCAGGGCCTGGTAGAGGCCCAGGGTGCGACGCTTGGCCTTGCGCAGGATGTGGCAGACGTACTGGAAGATCTCCTCGTAGCAGTCGCCGGGCTCGGCGTAGCTGGCCACCGTGCTGGAGGACAGGTAGCGCTGCCGCTGCTCCAGCATCAGCCGGTGCTCCCGCTGCTTGGTCTCCGAGAACTGGGTCGCTATGACAACGAGGCACAGGTTGATCATGAAGAAGGAGCCCACCTGTGACCAACGGGAGGAGAGGACAGGGACGGGGACAGAGGGGACGGTAGGGGAGGGGAGGCGGAGGTGGAGAAGGGGCCAGCAGGAAGACACAGGGAGAGAGACAGAGAGAGGGAGAGAGAGAGTCAGGGAGACCCCGAGACAGAGATGGAGACGGGGAGACAGGAGCCAGAGTGGAGAGAGGAGGAGGACGGGGACAGACCGGAGACACCCACAGAGGGAGGAGGACAGCAGGGGGCCAGCAGAGAGCAAGGACAAGGGGGACACAGGAGAGAGTGACACAGGCTCAGGAGGATTGGGGCATGGGTGACACCGAGTTGGGGGAAGAGACAGGGACAGAGAGGAGCAGGGGAGGGTGGAGGGTCCCAGAGAGACAGAGGCACAAACACAGATGGGGACAGGAAAAGACGGCTGAGGCCTTGCTCCAGGCAAAGGCGTGGCCCAGGCTGCTCTCCAGGCCCCACGGCCCACTCCAAGCCAGGCCACGCTCAGGCGCGAGGCCCCGGCCACCCCCCACGCTGGCATTGAGCCAGGGAGGGAGGCTGTGGCCCATCTTGGACCACTTGGGCCCTGAGTCCTACCCTCCAGCCTGGACTTTGGCTTTCTTTGGGCCTGAAGGGACAGTTGGGGAGAGGCTGCCGGCTAGCACTAAGGCCCCGCCCCCTCAGGGTGTCCTGTGCTTTTGGGGGTGCAGCCCCC